GTTCAGGGTCTGGAGGCTTAGGGTTTAGGGTTAGGGGTTTAGGATAGATAATTCTCTTAAGGCCTCTATAGTACTGCAGCTCAGGTTTGGTGGTAGGCCCGGGTGGCGAGATTCATCAGCGTGACCCTAACCCCAAAACCCCTATAAACCTCCTTTAAACCCTAAACCCTATAAACCCTAAACCCTATAAACCCTAAACCCTAAACCCCCATAAACCCTAAACCCTAAACCCTAAACTCCAAAAAACCCTAAACAGCAAACCCTAGACCCCTATAAACCCTAAACCCTAAGCCGCTTTGGGTAGGCCCTGTGGCGAGATTCATCAGAGTGATGGACACGAACATCAGGATCCTCAGCAGGGGTGCTCCCTCTGCAACGGCTTAGGCTTTAGGGTTTAGGGTTTAGGGTTTAGGGTTTAGGGTTTAGGGTTTAGGGTTTAGGGTTTAGGGGTTAGGGGTTAGGGTTCTGGGACTCCGAACACAGACCCAAAGGCTCCTCAGCACCTATAGGGTTTAGGGTTTTTTCAAGTGCGAAGCGCCCGTTTCTGTTGCAGCAGCAACAGGTCCAAAGCACTCCCCGCGAGGGTGTAGGGTATAGGGTTTAGGGTATATGGAGAGAACGATAATAGTAATATCTACTACAGAAGGCCTACTTTCTACAACATCACTTAGATGCTAAGGACCCTTTGGGAAAAGCTACAATAAACTCAATCCCAGAGAAGCCTGTTGCTGAAGCAGCTCGCCGCACCCCCACGGCCTAAACCTTTCTACGTGAAACCAGAAGACCCCTCTCATACCTTCCTCGGGTCTCAAAAGCCAGCCCCAAAAAGGTTGCCCAGTGCGGAGCTACGAAGGCAGAACTTGCTGGGCATTTTGGCTCGGTGGTTCTGATCTTGGGGTGTAGGATCTTGAAGCTGAGTGCTGTGGGCGTAGGGATGGTGTTCAGTGTTTAGGCTTCATGGTTGGGGTTCGGGGGGGTTAGGGTTTAGGGTTTAATTTTGGTTTTTGTTCGGGGGGGTTAAATGTGCAGCATCCTCACACCAAGACTCGGCAAGAAGAAGACCAGCAAGAGAGGCTGCTGCACGATGATCGGGAAGTAGACTTCGGCGATGGAGTCGAGCCTCGTTAAGTCTACCGTTTAGGGCTTAATCACTTCAGGGTCTGAGAAGGGCTTGCGGTGCGTCGGGCTACCGGCTTTAGGAATGTTAACCCTAGGTCGCGAGTTTTGCTGTAGTTATGTCGGGCAGACGGATCTCGTTGACAACTCCGCCAAGAAGGCGATGCCTGAAACGATCCCAACGTCCTCCTAACCCCCCTTGCCCTGCAGCCGACCTCCTAAAGCATGGCTTTTGCTTGGGAGGTAGAGGGGGGGGGGGGTGGTAAGCCTCTACACCCCCAATCCCTGTAAGCACTTGAGTGAGGGCTTGGGGCTTTCGAATGGAGGAGATGAAAGCAGTGGAAGCTCGCCATCCACTCTCTCTCTGTCTCTCTGTCTCT